AATCTGAAGTCTGTAATGGTATCGAGTTTGGATGTGATACAAAAAAGTGACCCTTCGTCTATCCATCACTCCGCTATATGTTTAATGACCGAGTCCTGCTGCTTTAATTTCATCAAATTCGCCAAAATTTTAATATCTGTCGATACAAATGGGTTGCTCACCATCCATGACCGCCATTATCGACCCGGATAACCTCGGACTGCATTCATAAGTCCCGATGCACCCGAAAAACCAATTTAACTTTACAGATCCCCCGTTCGTACAGTGGATGTGAAACACGTGCGCACGAGGAAACTGACTCATTTTATCAATGGCATGGTTTGCCCAATAAAATGTCTTGGAATAGGATTAGGTTGCCAGGCATTCTGTAATGGTAAACATGGATAACGGGATTATATGGCGATTCGGATCAAAACGTCCGGTAGGGGCACAGGGGGAGGGGGTTCCATTTAACTAGTTTGAAATTAAAAACAAAAAATTAATAAGAAAAAAAAACCAAAAAACAGAAGAATAATAGATTTTTTAAATTTTACAATTTATTTATTTATTTGTCAGTTTTTGTTTTTTGTTTAACAAATATTTCAACATGTGCTGAACGGGGTTCAGTTGTGAGTTTTAAAATTTCCCCACGAGCAAAATAAACAAAAGTTTCAAGGTCGGCAGTTATTTTTATCAACCATGGGATAAAGCGACTGTCTGTCAGTCAATAGGAACATTCACTACGTATATTAAGTACGAGTGTGTGAATTTGGTGCTGTGGGTGTGGATCGTTTTAAGTCCAAATCTCTAAACTATCAAATTAAGTCTTCAAATACTGGCTTATCTCAGAAAACTGCAATGCATTCTAAGTTGCTTAAGATAAGTAAAAAAAATGATAAAAAATCGACGATACCAGCCATGTAAACGGTGAAGTAAGGAAAAGAATCAGTGTTCACCATTTTGATATCATGTATTATACTTAGAGTCTTATAGGGACAAATCGTGACGTTTGTTAGATACAATTACAATCTTCACAATCTTATTGATTTGGACAACAAAAGGGTGAAAACATTCAGCTTAGTGAAACAGAAACTAATAACACGAAACACACGCCAAAAGATGTCAACTATATATATGTGTTGTGAGAAGAAGGGTCACTGTACTGCGCCAAAAGAGACTGTCACAATGCCAGCTAGAATTGATAATCATTTTACAAACATACGTATTTTATGTTATCACCAAACACGTTACTACCAGTCACTGTATAGACCTCAATCTCTTACAATTTTAACCTCAAAGGTTTAGAAAGAATTCAGACACCCAGTTGTGTAGCTGGCTTAAAGAATAAAACAACTTATCAACTTTGTTGCTTTAAATTTGCTAAATACATTGTAAATATGTGTAGTTGGCTTAAACATTGAACAGCTTAACATTTTTTTTGCTTTGAAATTACCGACATACATTATAATTTGTATGTTTGATATCATTTTGTCTTCCTGTGATTCACTGAATTCTCATCATCTAGACACTTTGTAAGTAATGGCGATACATTATTACGCTTTGTGTGTAGGAGAATCTGTTTACTTGTTGTCTGGAGGTGATATTACTGCTTACTTGAATATATATTTATTCAAAGACTAATTCCATGTTTTTCTTCTTGTGTTTTAAGCTTGTAGAAGACACAAACAAAAAATGGAAGCTTTCCTTTGATCCCGATTTATCTGTTATTTACTATAAAGCGTAGACCTACAGCATGGTGGATTATTACATCTCATGTTTATCAAATCGTTTCATTTGTTTTATAAAACTGACTGTTTTGATACTAGTTCTTTGGTAAGAGAATAGAAGAACAAAAAGATAATGTATTGTGTATCCTCAACATCATTAAAACATGAAACTAGCCTAGTTCGTTAAAGTGACATCACCAATTCATTATAGTGACATCTATTCATTATAGTGACATCTCCTATTCATTATAGTGACATCACCAATTCATTATAGTGAGATCTCCTATTCATTATAGTGACATCTCCTATTCATTATAGTGACATCACCAATTCATTTTAGTGACATCTCCTATTCATTATAGTGACATCTCCTATTCATTATAGTGACATCACCAATTCATTATAGTGACATCTCCAATTCATTATAGTGACATCTCCTATTCATTATAGTGACATCTCCTATTCATTATAGTGACATCACCAATTCATTATAGTGACATCCCCTATTCATTATAGTGACATCTCCTATTTAGTAGATGGAGCTTGCCAATTTACATCAGGTTCAATCAGATTGAATAATTGATAAAGAAAAGAGATGTATGATATATAATGATAATATATATTAGTTATTTTACAACATGTTTTTAATGTTTGCACACTTCCTTATAGAAGTAACAATCGACAGATTTCTAACGTCACAAAGTACTGGACATTCTCTGTAATCATTGAGTGAAATCCGTCGCCATGTTGAGTTTGTCAATATGTTATACTCTAACAAAATCTACCGGTAATATATGGTCTTATAAAAGTTTTAAAATTAGGGACGTATAATGCAAAGCATTCCTTCAGATTTCCCATTTTGCTTCATTTGGTCTTTTGATTAGATAGTGATATACACAAAGCGGATTGATATTGTCTTGTTGTTAAATGGCGGAGAATATTAATGTGGTATTGTCACTGATTCCGTGAAACAGACATGGATTTAGGGAACGATCTTCTGTTTATTTCTAATTAAGGCCGAGTCACAAAGAAAACAAAAATTCGAGTTTTATGTCTTAATCCGCTTCTTATGTATTGAGTTTTGTGTTTCGCTCAGTCAGACTGATTTACACTACCAATTAGTGATATTATTGAGAGACAAAGAAACAGAAAAAAATCAATCGAGCATTTTGGTAATGTTAGATATTGAAGAAAAAAAACCATTCGATTCCATTGGGTGGACATTCATAGAAAAAAGTTTATGTGTTTTTTTTTCGGTTCTAGCAACTTCATTATAAACAGTTTTAAAGCTTTATACTCACACATATCAGCCTCTGTTTAAAACAATGGTCGCCTCTACTCTTTCTTCCAAGATAATCTTATAGAAAAGCTAAAGTCATTGAAGTCACTTCTCCAAGATTGGTCTGTCAGAATCTTTGTATTTTCTATTATTGAAGAAATAATAACTGTAATACTTAGTCAAATGTTCATCCTTAAAAAAAATCCAAACGTTTCATTGCTTATACAAAAGTATAATCGATCAACTCAAAAGGAATCCTTTCATTTTAATTAGTGGTTTTAAATATGAAGGTTTGAGAGTACTAGACATTGTTTTCTCATAGGAAATCATTAAAACTAGTATGGATAAAGAATTGTTTGGACCCTAAATTGTCGTGCAGATCGGAAAAATATAAATTGATGATATAGAACAATTTGAAGAATATGAAATATGGGGTATAAAGGTAGAATTTTGGGAATTTCTGGGAGGCAATAATGTCTGTTTGGGGAAAATCTTTACGGACCCTCCTCGGCAGCCCCAGAAAACTTTCTCAACCTCTGTTGTTCAATATAGAAATTAAAGTTAATAGACAAACTATCTTCTTCATAATTCTGTGTCAGAGGAAATTTTCTATGTTCAAGACATAGCGGACGAACATGGGAACATCATATCTTGAACGTTTCTATTCAGAAAAACAAATAAATATCAATTTCATAAACTTAGATAGTATTTTTAGTACAATACCGAGCGGCTGGGAGAGAATGAAAACTAATTATGGAAAAATATTGAATATATTTTGCATGATAATTTGAGGCAACTGAAAACCATTGAAAAACCCGTCGAAGTGTTTCTATTACGAGCTATTATCACTGTGTTGACATATCCTCAACATTCTTATGAAAGGTGACACACTGTTTTGGATATTTTTCTAAGCCACGATGAGTGGAAAGACATTCATTCTATTCCATTTCGTGAGGCAAACGACACAAAACTACAAAGTTTACAATACAGAATCGCTCACGGAACATTTTTTTACAAATTCAATTTCATATAAACAAAAACTTGTATTACAACATCAGAAATGCAGCCTTTGTATTGGGACATCTGCAAAAACATATCAGATTTTTTGGAATTGTACACATATCACTCTGGACATGCTTTATAAATTCAGTCTTTCTCAAATATAATTTTGTTTTGGAAAAAAATCTGCCACTTTCCTATTTGGCGCTGATGCGACAAAGCAAATTCCAAATTGGGAAACATGAATGATATTTATTCCAAATTACAGAAATTTTCATCTGTAGTTAATTATGTGATTGACGAAAAACAAATTCCAAATTGGGAAACATGAATGATATCTATTCAAAATTACAGAAATCTTCATCTGTAGTTAATTATGTGATTGACGAAAAAAAAATTCACTACCAAAGTTCAATGTTTTATCGAAGGTTTTGTATATGTATCCAGTCCGCATCCAATTTACCTATATAATCCTTTATTGGGTTTACCGTTCACTATCACACCGGTTCAGAGGCTGTGGTCACATGTACGTTTGTGTAACGTTTGTTTATCTAGCATCTGTCACTGATTCGATCAGATTACATGAGTGCCATTAACAGCGACCCGGTGCACTACTACCGGAAGTGACGCAACGATCAGATTAATAGTGACATCTTACAGGCCTAAGTAAAAGGGAGTATGACGTAACAGACCTAAGTATACACCCCTCATCTAATTGGTTATGACGTCATTATACCATTACGCGTGTTCCATATTTATTTAATTAATTATCATGTTCGGGCCGGCTACCGTGTACAATATATATCTACAGGTTTACAAAATATGCTGATAGTGTCATAAAATGTAACTTGTAGTTACATAAAACGTAAAGGATTCTGATTTGGAGGAATTCAAAATTGCTCTCGGACTTCAATTAAAAACAATAAATTCAAATGATTACAAAAATAAGAATGGTGATTGAAAGGATGACAAAAATGATGGAATATAGTAGAACAAAAACAGACTGATTACATCACCTTGGCTAACTCGCAATGATGAGTTTCTGATATTAGGAGGTCGTCTTGTGCCTATGTTTGTTGTTAGACCGGGGCCTGAAATATAGAATGATTGGAAAAAATGTTTTCGTATCACTTACTGATATGCCTTCTGTAAATAGAACCAAATTCTGTTTTGAACTTAAATTCGTCTATATGTAACGTTGAAAGTATTTTCCACTGTTATAAATAGCATCCGTTTTATATAAATTTGTCACTTAATTCATATATTTCATTATATTGTTTGTATCATAGATAAAAGGTCCTTATTTAATTTCTCGAATTTGTTTCCATTTAGGAATTGTTAAAAATAGTTCAGACTACACGACAAGAAAGTTAGTTTCACTATATAACTGCCTCCCGATGGAAATCTACGTTGATATAACCGAATCATGCCAAATTATCGATAAAAGCCATCGTTGTCTTGACATTAATATTCGACAGCGACGGAAAACTTTCAAATGTCTGGCTATATGTTCATGGCTTGTTTACAAACAGAGCAGCACGTGCGCGATGAGCCTTCATATATTGCTTATCTAACTCATTCTCTATACACACTAAATTATTCTTTCAACACACACATCTAACAAGTGAGGTTTTGATTTGTTCAAAGCAAACGCACTCTCATACACATTAAAGCATGTTTATACATTTCTCTTTGACTTTGATTTTGTCAAAAAATTTGCTTGCGATATTGTTCCGATTTGTTGAAATTCCAATTTGTTCTACGACCTGCAGATATCCAAAAGTGTTAAACTGACCACAATAGACACTGGCCGCAGTGGACAACAGATCTAAAATAATTCATTTTCAGCCTTGCACGCTTTCATTATGATTTTCTGAATTATCTTATTTTCAGTGTTGTTTAAAAATGTCGGAAATAAGAAACACTTCTGTCGCGATACTTTTATCTGACAAATAGAAAACAACCTTTTTCATACACTATACATAATATACATAGGATCTGAAATGAAATTTCAATTCAAATGAGATGATATAAAACGAATCTTAGTCTTTTTTTAAAAAAAAATTTCGAGATTAGGCGAACAAAGAATTAAAACTTCGAGTTAAAGAAAATCTCATATGAAATGAAAGATTTAATATACTTTTTATCACATAATTCAAGAAAAGTTTACAGGATTTAAAGTAAAAAAAGTCGAGAACAATATCAAATGGCGACAGCCATTTTTTCGCTCCATTTTCAATTCATGACGCAACGTCATTGTCCATATCATCACAACCGATTTCTAACTCGCGCAGCCAATGAAAAGCTTTCCAAAGCATATTACAAAAGTAAAATATACACTTAGATGATAGTTCGCGAATTCACTGGATAACAGCGGATTGTGTGATAAACATGTATGTCTCACATGAGATCTTCTAAAATCTGAGGATTCTCAATTCTTGTACGATTCTTGTTCATTGATAATGTAGTGATGACAGTTGTGATTTGTCCAGTGTGTAGGGTGTATTGAGGATAATCTGTCCAGTGTGTAGGGTGTATTGAGGATAATCTGTCCAGTGTGTAGAGTGTATTGAGGATAATCTGTCCAGTGTGTAGAGTGTATTGAGGATAATCTGTGGAGTGTGTAGAGTGTATTGAGGATAATCTGTCGAGTGTGTAGAGTGTATTGAGGATAATCTGTCCAGTGTGTAGAGTGTATTGAGGATAATCTGTCCAGTGTGTAGAGTGTATTGAGGATAATCTGTGGAGTGTGTAGAGTGCATTGAGGATAATATGTCCAGTGTGTAGAGTGTATTGAGGATAATCTGTCGAGTGTGTATAGTGTATTGAGGATAATCTGTCGAGTGTGTAGAGTGTATTGAGGATAATCTGTCGAGTGTGTAGAGTGTATTGAGGATAATCTGTCGAGTGTGTAGAGTGTATTGAGGATAATCTGTCGAGTGTGTAGAGTGTATTGAGGATAATCTGTCGAGTTGTTGAGTGTGTAGAGTGTATTTAGGATAATCTGTTGAGCTGTCGAGTGTGTGGAGTGTATTGAGGATAATCTGTTGAGTGTGTAGAGTGTATTGAGGATAATCTGTCGAGTGTTTAGAATGTATTGAGGATAATCTGTCGAGTTGTTGAGTGTGTAGAGTGTATTGAGGATAATCTGTCGAGTGTGTAGAGTGTATTGAGGATAATCTGTTGAGTGTGTAGAGTGTATTGAGGATAATCTGTTGAGTGTGTAGAGTGTATTGAGGATAATCTGTTAAGTGTGTAGTGTGTATTGAGGATAATCTGTCGAGTGTGTAGGGTGTATTGAGGATAATCTGTCGAGTGTGTAGGGTGTATTGAGGATAATCTGTCAAGTGTGTAGGGTGTATTGAGGATAATCTGTCAAGTGTGTAGGGTGTATTGAGGATAATCTGTCGAGTGTGTAGGGTGTATTGAGGATAATCTGTCAAGTGTGTAGAGTGTATTGAGGTTAATCTGTCAAGTGTGTAGAGTGTATTGAGGATAATCTGTCGAGTGTGTAGGGTGTATTGAGGATAATCTGTCAAGTGTGTAGAGTGTATTGAGGATAATCTGTCGAGTGTGTAGAGTGAGGATAATCTGTCAATCTGTTGAGTGTGTAGAGGTATTGAGGATAATCTGTGTGTAGAGTGTGTAGTGTGTGTATTGAGGATAATCTGTCGAGTGTGTAGAGTGTATTGAGGATAATCTGTGTGTGTAGAGTGTATAGGATAATCTGTGTGTGTATTATTGAGGATAATCTGTCAGTGTGTAGAGTGTATTGAGGATAATCTGTCGAGTGTGTAGTGTGTATTGAGGAAAATCTGTCAAGTGTGTAGAGTGTATTGAGGATAATCTGTAGAGTGTGTAGAGTGTATTGAGGATAATCTGTTGAGTGTGTAGAGTGTATTGAGGATAATCTGTTGAGTGTGTAGAGTGTATTGAGGATAATCTGTCGAGTGTGTAGAGTATATTTAGGATAATCTGTCGAGTGTGTATAGTGTGTAGAGTGTATTGAGGATAATCTGTCGAGTGTGTAGAGTGTATTGAGGATAATCTGTCGAGTGTGTAGAGTGTATTGAGGACAATCTGTCGAGTGTGTAGAGTGTATTGAGGACAATCTGTCGAGTGTGTAGAGTGTATTGAGGATAATCTGTCGAGTGTGTATAGTGTGTAGAGTGTATTGAGGATAATCTGTCGAGTGTGTAGGGTGTATTGAGGATAATCTGTCAAGTGTGTAGAGTGTATTGAGGATAATCTGTCAAGTGTGTAGAGTGTATTGAGGATAATCTGTCGAGTGTGTAGAGTGTATTGAGGATAATCTGTCGAGTGTGTAGAGTGTATTGAGGATAATCTGTAGAGTGTGTAGAGTGTATTGAGGATAATCTGTAGAGTGTGTAGAGTGTATTGAGGATAATCTGTCAAGTGTGTAGAGTGTATTGAGGATAATCTGTCGAGTGTGTAGAGTGTATTGAGGATAATCTGTTGAGTGTGTAGAGTGTATTGAGGATAATCTGTCGAGTGTGTAGAGTGTATTGAAGATAATCTGTCGAGTGTGTAGAGTGTATTGAGGATAATCTGTTGAAGTGTGTAGAGTGTATTGAGGATAATCTGTCGAGTGTGTAGAGTGTATTGAGGTTAATCTGTCAAGTGTGTAGAGTGTATTGAGGATAATCTGTCGAGTGTGTAGGGTGTATTGAGGATAATATATTGAGTGTGTAGAGTGTATTGAGGATAATCTGTCGAGTGTGTAGTGTGTATTGAGGATAATCTGTCGAGTGTGTAGAGTGTATTGAGGATAATCTGTCGAGTGTGTAGAGTGTATTGAGGATAATCTGTCGAGTGTGTAGAGTGTATTGAGGATAATCTGTCGAGTGTGTAGAGTGTATTGAGGATAATCTGTCGAGTGTGTAGAGTGTATTGAGGATAATCTGTCGAGTGTGTAGAGTGTATTGAGGATAATCTGTCGAGTGTGTAGAGTGTATTGAGGATAATCTGTTGAGTGTGTAGAGTGTATTGAGGATAATCTGTCGAGTGTGTAGAGTGTGTAGAGTGTATTGAGGATAATCTGTCGAGTGTGTAGAGTGTATTGAGGATAATCTGTTGAGTGTGTAGAGTGTATTGAGGATAATCTGTCGAGTGTGTAGAGTGTGTAGAGTGTATTGAGGATAATCTGTCGAGTGTTTAGAATGTATTGAGGACAATCTGTCGAATTGTTAAGTGTGTAGAGTGTATTGAGGATAATGTGTTGAGTGTGTAGAGTGTATTGAGGACAATCTGTCGAGTATGTAGAGTGTATTGAGGATAATCTGTCAAGTGTGTAGAGTGTATTGAGGATAATCTGTCGAGTGTGTAGAGTGTATTGAGTATTGAGGATAATCTGTCGAGTGTGTAGAGTGTATTGAGGACAATCTGTCGAGTGTGTAGAGTGTATTGAGGATAATCTGTCGAGTGTGTAGAGTGTATTGAGGACAATCTGTCGAGTGTTTAGAGTGTATTGAGGATAATCTGTTGAGTGTGTAGAGTATATTTAGGATAATCTGTCGAGTGTGTAGAGTGTGTAGAGTGTATTGAGGATAATCTGTCGATTGAGGATAATCTGTCAAGTGTGTAGAGTGTATTGAGGATAATCTGTCGAGTGTGTAGGGTGTATTGAGGATAATATATAGAGTGTGTAGAGTGTATTGAGGATAATGTGTCGGATAATGTGTATAGTGTGTAGAGTATATTGAGGATAATCTGTCGTGTGTAGTGTGTATTGAGTGTGTGTGTAGTGTATTGAGGATAATCTGTGAGTGTGTAGTGTGTAGTGTATTGAGGATAATCTGTCGAGTGTGTAGAGTGTATTGAGGATAATCTGTCGAGTGTGTAGAGTGTATTGAGGATAATCTGTCGAGTGTGTAGAGTGTATTGAGGATAATCTGTCGAGTGTGTAGAGTGTATTGAGGATAATCTGTTGAGTGTGTAGAGTGTATTGAGGATAATCTGTTGAGTGTGTAGAGTGTATTGAGGATAATCTGTTGAGTGTGTAGAGTGTATTGAGGATAATCTGTCGAGTGTGTAGAGTGTATTGAGGATAATCTGTCGAGTGTGTAGAGTA